GTCACTTCCGCACTCCCCACCTCCGACCCTGCATCCGTGTCACTTGAACGGGAGAACTGGAAGGCACAGATGGGGAAGCTCTGTGCTTCGTCCATCATGGACTCCATCCCACAAACCTCAGCTTCTGGAACTCAAGGCCACAGGGCCAAGAGGAACACCATTCACAGTTTGCTGGGAGAAGGGAATCTGCTTCAATTCCCAAGCTTGAAGGAAGCTTTGAGACCAGGACATAGCTGGACTCTCAAATGATAATTTCCCTCATGAAGAATTTTCCAGGAAGCTGATGCCTAATGCTCTTTGTCCCCTCAAAACGGGCTGTGGGTCTGGCTTACCCATTTGCACCTACTCCCTTTTTGTCCTATCCTCTTTCGGCAAAAATTGTTTTCTTTAAAGTTAATCGTGCAAGTGATACATGGATACATTCTGGTGTCCCGATGTGCCGATTGAACCAAAGAAAGTTAACGTTAAGGGAGACATGCCCCACCTTCCCACAGACTCCCTGTTTTCAGCTTGGAGTGACACCTTCCAGACTTTGTACCATGGCGTAAACACAGATTTCGGTGCACGTGGAGCTAATGGGACACGTCCCCCTTGTGCATATGTGGCGTATGCTATTTCACAACTTGCGTTTGCCATGCGACTGTGTCTTCCCAGGCTGCTACATTTCGGACTGTGTCATCCTTTTACCTGCTGTAGAGTATTCCACAACTCAACCACAGAACCACCTCTGCGCTGAGAGACCTCTAGGGGGGTTTCAGTTGGTTTGCTATTCTGAACTGCCACAGTGGGTGCTTGCTCTCTCGTGAGCACACGTGAGAGGACCAGGCCAGGCCAGGGAGGAAATGCTGGGCCACAGCCTTGTCCCTGGAAAAGGTATTCCCTTCTCAAGGTTCAGAGCCTGGTCTACCTTGTCTCACACACTCTGTTGGCTCAGTAGGCAGCTGCTGCCTGGGAGAAGCCCATTTCCTGAAAGGATTGTGAATTCCCAATAGGCCTCACCAGGTGTATCTCTGGGAATGCCTCAGCAGGTCACAAGAGACTGACCATGACAGCTTTGGTGGCTGTTCAGCCCTGCACCACCCTTGAAGCTGGAAGCCCCTTCCTCAACTCCTGTGAGGAACAGTGATGAGCAACAAGAAGTCATTATCTAGCTTTTCTGAGGGGGGGGCTCTGTGTGTCCCACCCCCTTTCCCTACACATGAAAGGCTGGCATGTGCCCAGTGGGTGAGGCCGGGCACTCTCTCCTCCCCTGGCCACGCTGAGTGCCACCTCAGCCTCTGCCTCAGGGTGTCCACCGTGCTCTGGAAGACCCTGTGATGGCAAACTGTCCTCCTGAAGCCACCCCCTCCCTGCCAAGCTGCCATTTTCCCAGGCTCTGCCCTCAGCAACATAGCAGATGCCCCCCTTCAGGAGTCAGCAGCTAATATCTGTTTATCTGTATCTGCTTCTTTAAAAAGAGCCATAGGGAGACACAGCATTGAACTGGCTGGAGAGCCCTTGAGAAGAGCCAGGTGGGTTTGCCCCATCTGGCGCCTCTGTAAGGCTGGTCAATTCCGGCAGAGGTGCAGAGACAGAAGGCAGAACCCCCAAAGGGGGTTTAGGTTTACCCCATGCTCTACAAGTACACAACTCGGAAGAGGTTGCTCTTTAGCTAGTAGGTCTCCCCACAAGCCTTTGAGGGGGATTACTCTCGCCATTTGTAGATGAGGACACAGAGGTTCAGAAAGCAATTGGTGAGTGGCCCCTGGCTGGTAAGGGTCTCCCCTGAGCACAGCTTCCTATCTGGAACCGTGCATCAGCCTGCCAGAGGATGAGGGCCTTGCTGGAGAAAGCAGGGGAGTGGCAGTAACCAGAAGGTCTGACGCTAGAAACATGGGCTCAGAAAGCCTCGGAGACAGCAGGCCTCCCAGCAGGGACCACCTGGCACCTCTCAGGGGCAACCTAGTCCCCCCTGCACTAAGGGCGTGCCTCAGCGTCCTTGGAGCCTTGGTCAGCACCCAACGGCCCCCAGGCACTGCTTCTATGCCCCCTCCTACTGGCCCTGAAAAAGTTGCCTAGGCAGTGATTCAATGCTCTTGACAAATATGTATTGAGATCCTGCCCCGCTGTGAGAACCAAGTAGGAATAGGACAAAAGCACGTCCCTGAACTCCCCTTGGAGGGTGGGGAAACTGCCAACCAAGAAACAAACATGTAATGTTAATAGCCCAGTAGGGAGGGGCGCCAGAGACAAGGGGTCAGAGAATAAGTGTGTGTTGGGGGAAGGGTGTTGTGTGAAAGAGGTCAGAAAGTCAGAAAGGGCATCTGTAGGTCACACTGAAGCAGAAGTCAGAAGGGAGAGAAGGAGCGAGCCGTGCAGATGGGGGGGAGGGGGGGAGGGTTGGTAAACACGGTTTCGTGCAGAGACAACTATCAGTGCAAAGGTCCTAAGGCAGAGTGTGCCCGGCAGGGCTGAGAAACAGGAAGGAGGCCATGGGGTGAGCAAGAGGAAGAATTGAAGGAGGTAAGGTCAAGGGTGGAGATATTAGGGACAGTCACATGGAGTCTAGGGGGTGAGGGTCCCTCAAAGGTTCTGGTTCGCAGAGGCTGTGAGCTCTCAAAAAAATGTGGCAAAAATTCCTGGAAGCTGGGAAAAAGCAACAGATTCCTTCTTTCTTTCTCCTCCCTGGGATCCTTCCCTTGTTACCCTGGGCCATAACAATGTGGTCATTTTCTCCATCTCATCTTCCTCCTCCTCTTCCTCTCCTTCCTCCCACCTCCTCTTACTCCTCCCTGTACCCTCCTCCTCCTTCCACCTTCCTCCTCTTCCCATTCTTCCTTCTCCTCCCTCTCCGCACCTGCCCCTGACCTTGTCCCTAGCTGGCTTGCCTGCATGCAGCGAGACAGTGGCCGCCTCCCAGTTGCAGGCAGGCACAGGCAGAGGACAAGACCAAGGAATGGACAGAGGAAAGAGGCCCCCAGTGAGGCAGGCAGCAGCATGAGGGACCTCACGTCACGGGGGCCTCTGACCGCTATTCATTTCAGTCCCCTGGTGTCTCCATCAATAACCGTCTGCCAGGACCAGGGGGGAGGTGTGGGGAGGAGGGAGAAGGCGGGGTGATCTGGGTCTGGATGGAGAGGGATGAGCCGGGAGTGGGGGAGAGGCTTCTTGGCACTCACACCTGCTCTCAGTCTGGGGCAAGAGTTGGAGGTGGGGAAGGTATGGAGCCCACAGGTTGCCGAGAGTTTCTCCCTCCCTGGTTTCTCTCCCTGCTTCCTCCCTCCTATCTTTACGTCCTCTTTGCACGTACATTCCCTTCCATCTCCTCTCTGAAACCTCTCTGGGAAGGGAGGCAGAACCAATTGCTTCACTGGAAGAGGAGGAAGGGGTGCTTCCTGGGTGATGGAGGAGAAAGGAACTGTGGAGGATGCTGGGAGCACTCTGTGCCAGGGCACCAGGAAGCCAGAGCAAGCCCGGTAACAAGGGTTGGCATAGGCACCACCAGCCTGCAGGCCTCATAGGAAGCGGGCCCGGGCCACAGGGCCTGGCACACGGTGGGCACTTGGGAAGTAGTTAACAAAAGGCCATGAGAATGACCAAAGGGCCAGCTGTGGGTGGTCAAGAAGTGAGGTTGGCTTGAGATGGACTAGACAAGTCAAGAAGGGCTGCTTGGAGTCAGTAGAACTTGATCAGATTCTTGGAAGATGGATGGGACTGGAAGATGGGAAAATGAGGAGAGAAGAGCATGAGAACAAAGGCAGGGGAGGCAGTGGAGGGAGAGAAGACAGTGAAACAAGGGAGGTAGCCAGCCTGGAGGGGAGCCTTCTCTGGAGCATGAGTGGCTTTGGAAAATCTGAGGTGACAGCACCCCCGGAGACTCAAGCCTTCTGTTGGCTCAAGTTGACTTTTGACTTCCCCCATGACCTGGGTCTTGTTGGCCTCCGGAGCCATATTCAGCCACGTGTGCAGGCAGAGGAAGAGGCCCCTGACACTGGGCAGCTGGAGGGAACTGCCAGAAAAACTCTCCCATTAGCAAATATGCTCTTTGCTTTGTCACCATGCCTGAAGGGCCAGCATTAAAAAGTCACCCCTTGAGTTAGGTCGGTGCTCTGTAAAATTCAGATTCCCTGGCGAGGCACCATCAGAGTCACTCAGGGGGAAAGCTCCACTGGAATGACCTTGGAGACCACTGGGTCAACCCTCTCAGTCCACACACGAGGAGACTGAGGCCACACAGGAAACAGAATTCACCAGGGTCACCTAGAGAATTAGAAGCACAGCAAAAGCGGGCCTCAGGTCCAGTGTTGAGCATTGGTGGGCTAGACGTGCCTGAGAAGCCTCTGACTGGGAGGGGTGTGAAGATATCACTGCACATGTGACAACAGGGGACACACGGACAGCCCCACTCACTTCATTATCACAGCCAGGCCTGGGGTCCTCCCTACAGATGGAGACTATTCGGCAGACCAGGAGGGTCCCCCCGCATCATCCCTGATGGAGCAGCCGGCAGCACTCCTAAGGGGCCAGAATGAGTTCATGGTCAAACGTCACTAGAGGTGCTGGGGGTGAGGGCTGGAAGCTGCCCCTTCTGGGAGGTACTGGGGCTGGAGCTGAAACAGACAGAACAGCACCCTGGAGGAGGAAGGGAGGGAGGGAGGGAGAAGGCCGAGCTGGGCGAGCGCCTGAGGCATCAGGGCACGAAAAGGGACCCACGGGGAGAGGGGGCGTGGTGGTGGTGATGGTTGGAGGGGGAAAGATGCAGAGTGGGGAGACTTCAGCGGCGAGTGAGCAAAACAAAAAAGCAACGCGAGGGACAAAAAACCGACAGGAAAACGGAGAGGCAAGAAAGCTCGAGTAGAGTGCACAGGAGAAAGAGAGAGAGAGAGAGAGAGAGAGAGAGAGCGAGGTGGGGAGAGGGACCCAGAGCGGGGAGGGGCCCAGACTGGAGGGCGGGCGAGAGGGCGCGTCGGCGGCCCGGGGGCGCCCCACTGACCCTTCTCGGCGCTTGCTTCCCTCCCCAGGCTGCGCTTTCCTCACCTACTGCGAGCGTGAGTCAGCGCTGAAGGCCCAGAGCGCGCTGCACGAGCAGAAGACCCTGCCCGGGGTAAGTGACGCCCGCCGAGGCGCGAGCGACGGACGCGCCGACAGGGGGCGACTTCGGGAGGCCGGGCTGCGAAGCGGCCGGCCGGGGGATCGCGGGCCAGGGCGCGCGCCTGCCTTCGCTCGGGAGTTTGCGCCATCCTCCTCCCCTCCCCGCTCCGTGCCCCTAGAAGCCCCGAGGCGCCGAGCCAGGGAGAGGGCTCGTGGGCGCCGGGCTCGGAGCTGGCCCCGGGGCCTCCACACTGCGCCGTCCAAGCCCGACGGAATCCCGGGCGGGGGGCGAACTCCGCCACGGCCACGGAGCTGGGGCTTGGCTCCTCCCCCGGCCCTCCGGGAGCCTCCGATCGGCTCCCTGATCCGCGCACTGCACGCGCGGCAGCCGCGGCGGAGACGCGGGGTGCCCTGGTCCCCCGGAGCCCGGAGCTGCCTCCGCCGGCCCCACTGGGCCCTGGTGGCCGGGCCGCCAGAGCATCCGCCGATCGACGTTGGATTCAGGCTGTTCCTGGGGCGGGAGTGGGGGCGGGGGCCGGGGCGGGAGGGGGCGCCTCCTCGCCCAAGCTCGGCGCCGCAAGTGAGATCACCGCGGTTTATTTAAGGAGCCAGCCCTCGTCTTTGATAAACTATCGCGCCTCAGCCCTGGTTTATAGCTTCTGTGCGGGGGAGAAGAGAATTATTTATGGCCCCCCTAACTGGGTGTGATATCAGCCATGGCTATTATCGAGGCTAGTTCATCACCATAAAATAAGAAGTGTTCCTCGGGTCAAGGGTCTGCGCGGTCTCTCCTGTGGGTTCAGAGAGATGGGGGGGGGGGGTAGATATACTGCTCACCGAGTATCTAAAGATAAATGGAAAGATGTGAATGTTTGTGGGCATAATTTAAAGAATTTACAAATATACCGTGTTTAGGCTTATACAATGGACACTGCAGGGGAGCACGTGTATTCTGTATGCATGCTCACCAGTGTTTACACATGCATGTTTACATTCTTACCAAGCAAACCTGTATGTAAACACACGTTTCCATTTCTGCCTCACAGCGGGAAAGGTTAACCAGGTAGACTGAAAATGCAACCCTGGGTCGGGGCAGCTTTCCCTTGCATCAAAGATCCTTCGTTACCCATTTAGGGGAGGGGAGGGCCTTCCTTCCATTAAGACAGCCTTTGTATTGTATTTTGGTACTTGTGATTGCAAAGCACGGGGCTGAGTCATCTTAATAACATACCCGCGGATGCAAATGTATGGAAATCATGTACCGCACAGGTTTTTGTGTGGAGCCCAGCTCTGGCACGGTGGCCATTCCCCAGTTGGTTTTTTAGTGGCGCCGCTATATGCACATATATTATAGTAATTACTTTCTGGGTGCCCTCTGTAAGATGGCAGAAATATGCTCCACATCGCCCCATGTTATGTGTGAAGCATAAAGCCATATTGTAAGATAATCAAAGCCTTCTGAGAAAGGTTTGTGCTGATTAATAAAGTGTTTATGGTACTTTGTTTTGGGGGAGACTGTGATAGATATTTTAGAGCCACCCAAATGGAATAGAAAATACCACATTGTTTTGGGAGGCCCTTCATCAGCTTGAGAGAGATTGCTGGGGAGTTTCGTGATAGCTAAAAGCTGGGAATTAGATGGGGAAACAGAAAGAGAAAGTGGGAGGGAGAGGCTCGGGATTTTAAAGGGGGAGAGACTGGGGACTGGGAGAATTTCAGCAGCAAGTGTGGATTGTTCAGATTCTAACATTAACTTGTGGTTGTTTATTTTACATATAATAGAATAGCTAAATGATGGAGTGTATTAGTTCTTTAATAATTTATAGAAATACTTTGATGTTGCAGTAATTACATTAAAGGTCACATATCAAAGGTAATTTGGTTGAGCAGCTGTGATGGTTTCTCAGAAGCAATCAATACCACTGTCCGTGGTGCTGATTTCACCAAGGGGCCTGCCAGATTAAAGCAGGCTTATTACCAGGCAGAAAGGCCCAGGGGAAATCAGGAGCACATTGGAGCGACGCGCCAGCCCCCCTCCCACCGATAATTAACACTGTTCCCCATAATCTGCGCTAATCCTTCATACTGGGAGATCCAGTGGCATTTTTCTCAAATCACAAAGACAAGTTGGTAAAGTTTGGGAGAAAGGATAAAGAGAAGCATGAATGTATGTTGGGAGATGGGAGGGGTGAGGAGAAGCCAACGGTGGAGCTAAAACATAGCCCAGAGTCTCCTAGCAGTGCCTGGAAAGCCTGTCCTTTCTTCAAAGGCCTCACACGGAGACTCGGCCTCAAAGACCTCATCACAATTCTCAGGAAAGGCACAGCCTACAGGGGGAGGGACAGAGAGAAAAGACAAGATTGAAGCTCAAAATTCCCAGGGCACATTGTCCCCACACACACTCACATGGAAAAAAATGAAAAACAAAATGGCCACATAAAATTATGCTTTAAAGTGGTTTCCAGAAAGCAGAACTGGTGTTACTACTGTTGGTTGATTCTCTCCTTTGAGATTGGAGAAAGCTTGACACTAGCAAATACAGGGACAGGACCAATCAAAATGCTCTCACCCACCCAAATAATGGGTGTTCCCACCAACTGAGGCTGTGCCCATGACCACCTGTTAGGTTGGGGAGCACAGAGAGAGACCTCTTCTTGCTTGAGATGATCACACTAGGTGCCCCAGTGAGTGCACTGTATGTCTGATTAAGGAGCAAGGAATTGAAAAAAGAACGTAGAAAACTGGTAACCTCTGCAATTTGGGCACTTTTCCAGACTTCAAAATCCATTAAAGTCAATCCATTAAAACCAGCCCTCCAATTTCTCACTGAAAAGAAAAAGAGAGGAGAAAATAGTACAGACAACCCATTCTGTTTCCCAGCAAGTTACAGAGCTAGCCTGTTGGCATCAAGGAAAACAATCCCATTGTTGTGCGCACACACACACACACACACACCACCATCACCAAAACCAACAACAAAACAACAGAGACAGAGCTAAAGATGTCCTCATTTGGGGACTGAGAAGGGGAGCTGACATTTATCTTGGAGTAAGTGGAATCTCAGAAACCATTCCACAATGGCTGTTCTTACAAGTCAGAGGTCAGGATCCCTGCATACCAGCAAAACCAAGGCCCCTGAGATGGCTTACAGAGTCATTCCTGGATCAGTATCACAAATGGATTACTTTTTTTTGAGTTTGGAATGACTTTGTTAGAATGTAATCAGGGTCCTATTGAGCACTATCTTCTCTAGCCAGAATCTAGGCAGAGTGTTCCCACTTTTCTAAACTCTTCATTTCTATCTCTTCTTCACATTTTTTTTCTTTTTTTTTTTTTTAGAGAAAGAGAGAGAGTGAGCACAGGAGAGGGCCAGAAAGAGAATCTTAAGCAGGCTCCATGCTCCCATATGGGGCTCAGTCCCACCACCCTGGGATCATGACTGAGCCATATTCAAGAGTGAGGCTCTCAATGGACTGAGCCACCCCAGGTGCCCCTCTTCTTCACACTCTTGATCTCTCATTTCTGGCCTTCTGCCCATCTCCAGCCCATTCTCTTCCCTATCCAATGTTTGTTCCACTATTTGTAAGGTATAGTTGACATGGGATAATTTCTCAATCCACCAACAAGTATTTCCTGAGTGTGTGTCGGGCACTGTTCTAGGCATCCTGGCAGATACAGTGATTAGAAAAACTCATCCCTACCCCTCTTGGAGTTGTCTATCAAGTTAGAGACAAAAGCCACACACATGTACAAAAATATCATCAACAATACAAGACAGCACGTTATTATAAAATGGGTAGTGTAGACAATTGCTCAATAATAACAATTAATATTTATTAAGCACTTATTATCTGGTATTTCATTATCATAAAACAAGCATGTTATCTCCATTACCTCATTTTATCTTCACAACTACTCTGTGATGAAGATATCAGGATTATTCCCTAAACATGCAGAGGCCCAAGTTTAAACTAAGCAATTTGTCTGAAGTCACACAGTTAACAAATGGTCAAGCCAGGACCAGCACTAGGTCTGCTACCCAAACCCAGGATACTTATCTCTCTTTTTTTTTTTTAAATGTTTTTATTATTTATCTCTAGGAGAGAGAGAGAGAGACAGCGTGAGCAGGGGAGGGTCAGAGAGAGGGAGTCACAGACTGAAACAGGCTCCAGGCTCTGAGCTGGCAGCCAGCACAGAGCCCGACGCAGGTCTCGAACCCACGAACCGCGAGATCATGACCTAAGCAAAAGTCGGATGATTAACCGACTAAGCCACCCAGGCGCCCCTACTTATCTCTCTTTTTTAGTGCTACCAGTTGCTTTAGAGGGGACCCAGGTGACCGTGGGGTATAGGAGTTGCTTGAGGGTTTTGTTCAGGATATGGGCAGGTTGGGAATAGATTGTTAGGAGGAAGACAGCTATGTCAGATGAGAGCACTGGTCTGGGAACAGCTTGGAGACAAAGCATGCATGACAGGTCAGGAGCTGTGAGCTGGGCTGGACAGGTCCACTCTGAGAGTTCCCTGGGGCCAGAGGGTTCACAGGAGGCCTCTTGAAAGAATTCTGTTCCTTAAAATAGGCCCCTGCTGCTTAGTCCCAATGCCCCAAACCCCTGCCTTTCAGACTTTGCAGGCAATTGTCTTCTAGGAAGACCCCATCTGTTTCCAAAGTTAGAAATTTATGGCCTCTGGGGAGAGACTCCAATTAGGAAAACCAGGAGACATGGCCAGTAGTGGCTAGCACTTTGCTCCTCTGACAGCAGAAAGGGCTGCTCACCAGGACTCCTGAGGGGGAAGAACTGGGTTTAGTTAGCAGGAGGCTAACTCCCAGAAGAGGGAGCAAGCAGGGAAGAGGGGAGGAGAGGGAGCTGGCAAGAGAAGGGAGAGTAGGAGCTATATCTGCTTGGTAAACATTAAAGTTCCAATTCACTAGTTAAAGATTGGCTTTTGTGCCCTCACTCCAGCCACCAGAGAATACAAAACAAACCAACACTCTCCTCTCTGTCTGTCTCCCAC